TCCAGGGATGGATGGACAACCAGTTCTGCCAGTGGGGGCTGGAAAGCTGTTGAGGGGCTCCTGAGGATCATCCCTGTTGGATGAGAAAAGACTCACAGGATGAGAAAACTCTATCTTCTGTTTTCTGGTTGCTAATTTCTATGACAGGATGTGAGACAGGACTCCAATGATGACCTTGTGACCCCAAGGGGACCACTGGAGATTATAAAATTGAAAGTACCTAGGTCGCTGAAGATACTGTTGAGCCACTATCCAGCCCTAGGACCACCTATTCTCAGACTTCTGATTAAGTGGCAGGATATAATGTTTATCATGGAAGTCAATGTTAGCTGACTGTTCTGTCATTCGCAGCTAAATGCATCAAGCCAGTATGAAGAGTTAAAGCATTGCGTGCTCAGGTCCAATTTAATTCTCTTGAATTTTCTTCATTTTGCGCCATTTATCTTCGTTGTATCTTTAGGTTGGTGTTACTTAATACTGTAAGATGGTTTCCAGAAGCACCCATGGCTACCTATGACCTAAGCCTCATCTGGGAGGGAAGTATGTACTGATTCAACCAACAGCAAGTCTGGAGCCCATCTCATGATTGGTGGGATGTGCCGTTGGCTTAGTCTGCATTCTGTGCCTGGTGTGGCCCTCATCCATGCGTCCGAGGGATGAGACCACCAGGTTGGATGAGACCCATGGGTGGATTGGTCAGTCTTCCTCCATCCCTGCAGCTTGGCTGTGTCCGTGGCAGCAGGAAAGTGTAGGGTCAGGGCCCCTTTCCCCTTTCCCCTTGTTTGATCTGTATACCCTGCTTCTGTAGGTAACTGCATCTCCACGGCTCCAGCTGCCACTTTAGAGAAAGAATGGAGCACACAAAGGTTTCGGGACCCAGGCCCCAGAGTCAGACAGACTTGTGGCTCCCACCCCAAGTCTTCACTTTGCTCTGCCACATGACTGTAAGGGAAGTGCTTCAGGTTTCTGAGCCTCCGTTTCCTCATCTATAAAATGGGCAGCAGAGAGCAGCACCTTTTCTTTGGGTCGTGAGGGAGACATCGAGGGTGATTGCAGAGGAGCCGGCACAGTCCTGGACACCCAGAACAGACCGCTGGTCCCCGTGACCAGTGCTCACAGATATGGCCATTGCACTCATGTTTAATGTGGGGCTCAGCGCGCTGGCTTACTGGGCTCACCATGCTCTTCTCTGATTACTTAGGCAGGACTAGATTCTTCTCCAAGGAAACAAGGGCAAAATTGGGACAGAGTTTGAATTCAGACTTTCTGCACCGGCTTTCATGCCCTGCGTGGCCTTGGAGAGCCACAAGCTTGTATGGTTGCTCTCTCTGGAGCCTGCTTTCCCCACAGTCTATAGTTCTGGGAGCCACAAACTTAATTATTTAGCCTGCACGCTCTCTCTTTAAAATGTAGTCGATGTTTTAAATATGCTGTCCATGAAAATTGATTTTCCTTCTTCTTTAGGAAATACCTGACAAGCCACACAAAGCCCAGAGCCAGGCAGAATACCTTCCAGAGGCCACGCCCCTCCAGCAGGAAGCGACCACGCCCTCTTCCTCAGGCTCCTCCCACAACCTGCCTCGTGGTCTTTGGTGCAGCTGAGAGTCACCTTCAGATTTTATTCACCCTTTTTATTGATGGAAACCAGACTTAAGGAAATTGCAAGTCTTGCCAACTTGCTGTGGTCTGATGCCTCCCTGCCCACACTCCTAATGGCTGGAGACATTTGCATCAGGGCACTGTGCCCCTTTTTTAAGCCATGTTCATCCTCAGACCTTTATTGGGACCGTGTCGTATAGCGGTCAGGGCAGATGATGCTACACAGGTGATGCCCAGAGGGCCCTGCTCTCAGGAGCTCACAATCTAGCTGTGGAGCGGGGAGGAAGATTCATGCAGGAGGACGCCTATGCCACACGCTGGCATGAGAGGTCATGTAGGATGTGGAGTCAGGAAGATAAAAGTAGTCTCTGTGGGAGAGGTGGCCAGGGGAGGCCTCCCGGGCCAGCTTAGGCCTCTCTCCAACTGTCCATGCTTGCTCAGGGCTGAGCATGTTAAGTCTGGGGGTTCATCCTCCCTAGATTGTCTCCATGGGTCTCACTGGAAGCTGTTCTCTGTCTTCTTCACCCCTTCAAATGCCCAGTGGAGTTGTTCAGTGCCTTCCATGGAGAAGGAACTGGCTCTGAAGGACATGCTTGAGGAGGTGGGGAGTTGTTTGGGGGATTTCCCATGATACCTTGAATCCTGCTGAGCTGTCTGCTCCTAGAGTGTCCAGAGAGGCTGAAGCTTCTTAGTGAAAGTGAAAATCACCTCACAGGGAAGGTGCTTGGACTTTACCTCTCAGCAAATTGGAAGGCCAAAGGCTATGTCTCAATCTCTCTCTCTATCTCTCTCTCTCCCTCCCTCCCTCCCTCCCTCCCTCTCTGTGTCTCTCTGTGTCTCTCTGTCTCTCTCTCTCCCTCCCTCTGTCTCTGTCTCTGTCTCTGTCTCTGTCTCTGTCTCTGTCTGTCTCTCTCTGTGTCTCTGTCTCTGTCTCTGTCTCTGTCTCTCTCTCTCTCTCTCTCTCTCTCTCTCTCTCTCTCTCTCTCTCTCTCTGTGTCTGTCTTTCCCTCTCTCCTTTCAACTTCTGGGCATTAGGCCTGTTTGTAAGAAGCCACATTTTAGCAATTTCTCTCCTCCTCTCTATGAAGCATGAATGCACCCAGAGGCATCTCTTGGTTGCACGAGAACAGAGTGCAAATGGTGCTAGGGCTGAGAGGACACAAGAAGGTGCATCATCTTCACACTCTTGGCCACGATCTGGATACCTGGGCTCTGGGCTCAGCCTCTTACTGGGCAAAGTCCATTAAGGCTGAAGACTGGTGGGAGGCTGAATCAACACAGGGCAGACAGGATTCTGGCTACACTGTCCCTCTTAATGCTAGAGAGCAGGACCTGGAAAAGGCTGGTGCTCCCTCCCATCACTGTGACAATAGGACAGAGTCAGAGACAATGAGGAGACAGAGCTGGCAGCAGGCAGAAGTGAAGATGACATCCCAGTAACATTCCCGGGAAATTCTGTCTGGAGAACCTTTCAACAATGCAGGACCGACCAGGGAGATGTCTCAGTGGAATAAGCGCTTTTCTGGCAAGTGCAAGTGTCTGAGCTCAATCCCTGATTCTGCCAAAAAAGGGGGGCAGGGGGACTGGGGAGATGGCTCAGTGGAATAAGTGCTTCCCTGGCAAGCGCAAGGACCTGAGTTCAATCCCCAATTCCACCACAAAAAAAAAAAAAATGCAGGACCACATGGGGTTATCATGAATTAAGCTTCAGGATGAGATTGAATGGCCTGGATCTTGGAGTCATGAGCCCAAGAGCCCACAGTTTTTAAAGTTTATGGGGGAAGTGGCCACTAGACCAGAAAGAACAGTCTGAGGGAATGTCGGGGCTAGAAAAACCTCTAGTATATCTTAGTTTCTAGATGAGGAGGCTGAGGCTGGGAGATCTAGCCAACACATCCTACATCACACAGGGACTTATTGGCGGAGTTATCTAATGGGTGTGGCCTTGTGCTGACTGCTACCAGTTTCTCCTGACTCCTTCAATCTTGGCTCTTTCTAGGCACCAATCCTGACATATCTGGGGACCCACAGGACTAGGGAAGGAGTGGGAGCTGACACCTCCCAAAGAAATGCTATCAGCCTCAGCCCTCTCCATCTCTCACTCCTGGGCAGCGGTTCAGCACTAGCAGAGCTGGACAGCGCCAACATCCATGGGCTGCATCATTTGACTTGTGGAAGGTTTCTGAGATGTCTCACAGCTTCAAGAAGCGGCTGGATCTCAGGTTTTGGTTTGCCTAGTATTTCAGCCAGATGCTAACATAAGGCGGGTGGGCATCAACGTCTTTGGGAGCAGACGTCTGTCCCTCTGTTTGGTGGGGGCAAACAGACAGAAGAGGCCTCATTTGCTAACTTTGTTCTCTGGTCTGTCACCCTCCATGGCAGTGCTTGTTCAGATCAGTCCTTACTGCCTTTTGGAACTTCACAGTGTTCTGCTGCTTAGCCAGCTGTGCTACTTGTCACCAACTGAAGCGACAGGTGTCCTCTACTGGCTGACACACTCATCTGACAGTACAAGGCTGGTTCAGACTGTCTCCCTCTACTGCATGGGTCATGGAAGTGTGTATTGGGAAGCTGGGCAAATGAGATTGAAATGGCCTGGATCTTGAGGTCACCAAATGGCAGCAAGCATCCTTGAAAGATAATATTGTGTGAGCGAGGAAGAAACTTTGTGTGTAACTCACTAATGTTGGAGTTCTTTGTTAATGCACCCAAATCTTGCCCAGCTCAATGAATGCTCATGGCCTTCATCATCCTCTGAAAGTCATGTCTGCAATCAAAAAGTCTCTAAGAGGCCATCTTTCTTGAAAGCTGTGTTCTCCAATCCAGCCCCATTTCTGGCTCTGTCCCCTGCCTGGGCAGGAGCAAGGGCTCAGAAAGCCCTGCCACCCTTTGCACCTCCACAGCGGCTGCTGGAGAAACATCAGCACTGGGTCCTGAACCTGCTATTAGGGACAGCATGTGGCAGCCTACAGAGAGAGGTAACATTTTGTTTATCTTGGCAAACAAAAGCTTTCTGGGTTCAAGCAGAGGGATTCCTGAATTCCTGGATACCACCTTATTCAATCTCTGCAAATTAGAGACCACATTCAAAATCTTACTCCAGTCTCACCCAGGATGTCCTCAGACACATAGAGCTTTTATGTAAATTATGAAAAGGTGATCCTCTCCCCACCTTAGATTTGGATATTTATAATTTCTGTGAGTGCACTAGGTACAATAATGTAGACTGTCCTTGATAGAGTAGTAATTCCTAAAGCTGTGCTGTACACCTGTACTAGGCAGGCTTGGACGTCACTGCCTCCTCCCAGAGAGCTCAGAGACCTGTTGACTCCAATAGGGATAAGGTAGTAGGCCTTGCCCTGTGATGCCAGGATTCCTTTCTGTCTGAACACATGGTATGCTTACAGCTTCCTCCTAGGTGGAACTTGCTGGGAGCAGTCTTTGGTGATGCTGTAGCAAACAGGGATGTCTTTCTGGGCTGGGACCTGGGACTGGGCCTGTTGACACTGAAAGAGCTTGTGGAAGGCCTCGAGGAAGCGCTGGGACATGAGGGCATAGACAACGGGGTTGACAGCGCTGTTCAGGTAGATGCAGAGGCGGCAGAAGAGAAGGAAGCTGAAGTCAAGGTAGGGCGGGCTCAGGAAGGAATTCACCACCACGAGGGTGCGGTAAGGCAGCCACAGCACAGCGAAAAGGACCACCACCACGGCTAACATCTTGGTGACCTGTCAGGTAAGAGAGAGAGGAATGCGCAGGTGCCAGGTGAGAATCCAACTAAGGCAGCCACTGACCATGGTCAGGCTGTGCCAGAGGCACAGTTCCCTCCAACTCTCACCGCCGCCCGCCCCCTGAAAGCTCCTGTGCTGCCTTCTGTGCCCTGTGGAAGCTACTTTTTCCTGGGAAACTTCCTGGCTCTGATCCACCTCCAAAGCCTTTGGATGGGCCTCTAGTTCCTACACAAGAAATTCATGAGGCAACTGGGCCCCAGGATTTCTGTGAGTGAGATGGAAGCTGCGGATGGTGTGAGGGTTGAAGGAGCTCCTAATACAGGCCAAGCACTGAGAGTGGAGCCAGGCAGACTCTGAATGGTCCACACAGCTGCTGCCACCCTGAGCATTTTCTCTGTCATAGTTGCACATACACAGCTAGGCTGGAATCCTGGCTCCACTGCTGGCCAGCTGTTGGGGACTGGGTTAGCCTCTTTCTCCAATCAGCCACAGTGCCCTCCTCACCCCCAGCCATACACTCCTTTCTGGCCCTTTCTGCTTTCCTGCCTCTTTTCTCCTGAGACCCCTGCCCACCCTGGAGCCTCCTTTGTTCCCTCCGTCCTTGTCACCTCCCAGCTCTGCATATCTGGCCATTGCTCCTGGACCACCTAGACTACACAAAACCCCCTGTAGGTGGCAGACATCACAAGACACAGGGTTCTAAGTCCCAGGATGCAAATACCACAGAGGATGTCCATGGAAGGGATGCTAGGGCATCTCAGGCAGCAAGAGGGAGGTAGAGCTTCCTGCTTCTGGGGTCCTCAGTGTCCCTTCAGAGACCAAACCTTGAGCAGCATGAACTCACTCATGGAACCTGAATTGCTGACTCGTCCTGGTTCTACTTCTCCCCAGACCACTCTGCATCCATGGAGTCAGCTCCAGAGACACCCAGTGAGGCCCCTTTCTCTCAGGAAAGAAGCCAGCCTGGAGCACTGCATGTACCAGGGCTTCTTCCACTCTGTGAGTTCAGTTTCTTTGCTTCTCCAAAAGGTCCCGACCAAGCCAATAAACCTTGGAGCCATTGAGCCATCGAGCCATAGTGCTCTCCAGGAGCCATGGGATCCCAGGAATCCCCTTGTCACTCTTGACTCCTTATTTTACCAAATTCAAATTTAATTCCATTATTTTAGGCTCATTTGCATTATTAATACTGGAGAAGAGAGAGTGGGCTCTGGAATCAGGTGGCCTGGGTTTAAATCCTGATGCTTGCTTTACCAGCTCTAGAATTGCCTCAGATTCCCTACCTATCAAATTAGGACAGCAGTGCATACCTCATAGGGTTGTGAAAACTCAATTTGCTAACTTGACTACAATGCTTAGATTAGCACCTGTCACACAGAGTAACTGTTAGCTGTTAATACTATTATTTTCCACTTTGTGCTTTTTTTTTCAAAATTTTATTGATAAACAGATAGCAATGAGACAGTTTCAAATCAAATTGGAAGTACAGTTTCAACAAATAACACACTGCATATATTCTTCTTAGTGGTTAATTGCTGTACAAGATGTGGACTTCAGATCTTATTTACAAACACCATTAGAACAAATCATTCTATTCATTAAGAGAATGCAACTATATATCTATCCTAACCACTTTGTTGTTTTTTTTAAAACACTTTGTGCTTTTAAAGCTCTGTTTTTCTCTACTGTACTGTTTCCATAGCAACTGTCCATCATATTCTGTGAGGGTTCTCTTAGCATCAAAGAATACCCAAGCCACAGACAAGTGCCCTCATCCAAGACCACGATAATACTAGTAGGTACCACGTATGGACTGCCTTACCTTGGAAACTGAGGCTCAGAGGGAAGAAATAATTTATATATGGTCACAGAGCAAAGCTGCGAGCCCAGGTTGGTTACTACCAGCTCTGTCTCTTCTAACTAGTTTGGCCCCAGCCCTGCCAGGCTAAATGGGAAAGCAGTAGGCAGAATAGTCACAGTGTGGCTGGGAAGGGAAGAGAGGCATTTGTCCTGCCTATGCCTGTGGCAGGGCAGCAGTCCCAGACAAATATTTCACAACAGCTCAGCCTCTCCTGCCGCCTCCTGGCTAAACACTGCCTTCCACTGAGATGCTTGTATGCAGAGTGAACAGAAGGAGGCGCGGTGGAGAGAGCTCCATGGAGGGCTGCTACCCAGAGTCAGGAGAGTGGCACTAAGGGAGACAGGAAGGTGACATGCCAGGCTCCGTGAGTGACTCAGCTGAGAGGTGTCCATTCACCACCACCCCCAGCTGCAGATGGAGGCAGGACAAAGACCAGCTGGGTGTAGGAGCTGTCCAGCCCCGTCAGTGCTGAAAACCCTGAGCCTCCAGGCTGTAGGAGTGCGTTGGGTCTCAGGGAGCCTAGGCATGTGCTTTCCCACCCAGATGCCTTGCTGCATGCCCTTGATCAGTCCTTGTTCCCTATGAACACTTCCCTGGCCCTTAAAAACAGCTCTTAACTTTCTGAACAGGGATAACACCAGGCCCAGTCACACATCAGGCACAAGTTAAGCTCTCGCTAAATGCTGGGGCTCTCCCTATCCCCATCTTGGTCTCTCAGCTTCTCTCAGTCCACTGAGGCAGCTTTAGTGTCGGACAGTAGCATGGCCTTGAGAAAGTCACCTCACCTCTCAGCCTCAGTTGTCCCATGAGTAGAAGAAAATGAATAACCCCTGTCCATAGACAGAAGGTATGGAAATTTAACAACAATAACTAGGAACAATTGAGTGTTTAGTTGTGATATGAAATGGGCTAGACTTCAGAGAGATTATCTCATTGCTCCTGACTGACAGTACCCCGTACAACAGATGAAGAAACTGAGGTTCAGAAAGGCAGGGTGAGATCCCCCAAAATGCAAACCTAGTGAGTGGTGCAACAGGGAGTTTGGACTAAGGCACCTGCTCCTGAGGCTGATCTTGCACCCCTCTGTTGGCTGAGTAGAAGGGCCCGGTGAGAATCCAAGTTTTACCTGCTTCCGAGAGTTGAGGGCATCCCTCCTGCCTCTGGAGATGAAGCTTCCTTGGTGGGTGGATACTCCCTGGTGCACAGAACCCGCGAGCCCCGAGTGGCGGGGAGGCAGCGGTCGGGTGAAAAGGACGCGCGCTATGAGCACATACAGCACGGTGGCCAGACTCAGCGGCATCGCGTAGAAGAGCATGAAGTCCAGGAAGTAGACCGGCAGGTAGAGAGAGCGGGACACACGGTAGCCGCATTGGACCTGCACACCATCGGCGTACACTGCCTCGCGCGTGTCCACCAGGAAGAGCCAGAGCACACAGTAGGTGCCCGTAGCCAGCCACACCCACGCTGCAATGCGCTTGGCTCGAGCTACGGTGCACAGTGCCTGTGCACGCAGAGGGTGACAAATGGCGATGTAGCGCTCCACCGTGAAGGCCGTGATGGAGCCAGAGGAGGCGTTGATGCCAACGTACTGCAAGTAGGTGATGCCCAGGCAGCCCACGTGGCCAAAGACCCAGCCTCTGCTGGACGCTGCCTCAGCCACAGTGGGCACTGCAGCTCCGAGAAGTACCAGCAGGTCTGCTAGGGCCAGGCTCACCAGGTAACAGTTGGTGGGTGTGACCATGTGGCGGCCCCAGACCACCACGAGAACTACCATGGCGTTGCCCGCCACACCCACGGCACACACTAGGGGCACCAGCGTCAGAGTCACCACCTGCACAGCCAGCGGAGTCCAGGGCATGGTGCCCAGCCCAGATGCGTTCGCACGCTCGGTAGAGCCTGTGTCATTCTCCATGTGCCCTGGCCCGCGCTCCTTAAGGCAGAGAAGAGCTGGGGATGTACTTCCTTGGGGGTTACTGCGAAATTTTCCTTCAGTGAGCTGGAATCCCCCAGCCGAACTGGTTCTTCCAGTGGTTGCAGGATCTAAACTGCTACCTTGCAGGACTCCAAGGAACCAGACACTGAAGTAAACAGGGGCTTGCACTCAGTTTTCAAGAAGACTTTTAGCAGTCTCTCCCGGGTGGGGTTTCCTCCAGCGGTGCATTGCGGACTGTAGGGTTGCTCTCTACCTGCACTGGGCACCTGCCTTCCACTTCCCGTAGCATCAAACGCCCGAGCCCTCTCGCGTCTTACCTCTGCTCCCTAAGTTCGAGGTTCTTCCAGGGTTCTAGAACCCGGCTGGCGGTCAAGGGAGCGGGCTGTGAGTTTCCGTGGCTGCCTCCGGCTGCTCCTCCGCAAAGCTGCTGTGCTCCCTCCGCGGATACCGGCCACCTCAGCCTAGCATCTGTTCTCCCATCAGCTTGTGACGCGGCAGCCTGCACACCCGGGGCCAGTGGGTTGTGTGCGATGTGGAGGGAAATGTGCACTGCTAACCGGAGCAGGGTCCTCATTTCTTTTGCGCCTTTTCCCTTCTTTTCTTTCTCTCTTCTGCAGGGGAACCTCCGCTGGGCATTGCTGGAGGAGCTGGGACTGGCAGGATTTCTGACTCAATCTGGTAACCCTATCGTGTTCTCACTGGCAGAAACCTGAGCCCAGCTGTGGACAAATGGGGAACTGAGGTGTACAGCTGGCAAAAGGATTTGTCCATCTGGATTTGGGCCAGGCCAGTCTCCTCTTAAGCTTGCCATCTTCTTGCCACCTTTTGACTTTCTCTTCTGTACCTTTCCCAGTTTTTCAAGAGTTGTAAATTCTTGAAGAAAGCACCCCATGTTCCCATTGCTAAGGGACCTCTCCTATCACTAAGACTGCCATTCAGAAGGCATGAGCCAGTTAAGATTCTTTAGCTTTCATGGTACAGAAGATGTGGGTAATGAAAGTTGAATGGATGAATGAATTAATGAAATGAAGTTTTTTACATTCAGTGGAGGGACCACACTAAACTTCAAAATGACATGAAAGCTATTTTCCATGGAGCCTGGTTCCCTGCCTGCCCTTAGAAGGAGCTGAAGAATTGTTGACCCCTGTCAACCTGTCAGTTATATTCCCTACAAATTATTTGTTTCATCTGAAAAATGAGAGACTCACCTTGATCCTCAGGAGACAGATGGATAAAATCCACATAAAATGCTTGCACTGTGCCTAGCCATGGCAAGGGGTGGATAGACTAGTGTTTACAGTTATGGTGAGATACGTGTTTATATCCCTTTCTCTCACTCTTTAATGTCTAAGCACAGTTTGGAGCCAAACTCTTCGTCTACAGGTCCTGTCAGTGGACAAGAGATTATTCATTAGAGAGAAATTAGCAAAGGAATATTTGGGAGGCGCCAGCCAGAGTCCAGGACATCCCTGTTGTCAGTCTCCCTCACTGGGGTGAGGGGGTGGCTCTGTGTAAAGGACGCATTATTACCCCTAATGCTCTTTATGCATTGCACGTGTTAGTCTTGTTATCACAGTGCTCTAAGAGGAAGGTAACTATTTCCATGTTAAAGACAAAGAAACTGGCCCGGAGCAGGTAAGTAACTTGCTTAAGGGCATATCTTCCTCAGCAAGGGAGGGTGTGTGTGCTGGGATTCGCACCCAGCAGCCTTGCTGTGGAGCTCACGTCCTTACCTCACTCCCACATCTCTCTGCATGGTGCTGTTCTTTAGGATGTTCAACAATAACAACAGCAAAGCTCCTTATCCTGGCCCAGAGACTGCACTGTGTGTCTACACGCACTATCCCCGTCTCCTCAGCTCCACCTAGCTAGGTATCATGATTCCCATTTTGCTCAAGAGGATGTTGGTGTTCAGAAAGAATGATCTCCAGTGTCTCTGGTCTCTGGGCCAGAGTAAGGAGCTTTGTTATCATCATTGTTGAACGTCCTGAAGAACAGCACTGTGCAGAGAGATGCAGGGGTGAGGTAAGGACGTGAGCTCCACAGCAAGGCTGCTGGGTGCAAATCCCAGCACACACACCCTCCCTTGCTGAGGAAGATATGCCCTTAAGCAAGTTACTTACCTGCTCCGGGCCAGTTTCTTTGTCTTTAACATGGGAATAGTAACCTTCCTCTTAGAGCACTGTGAGCATAACAAGACTAACACGTGCAATGCATAAAGAGGATCACAGGGTCAAGCAGGAAGAAGCATCTCCAATTCCCGACTCTGCTCTCTTTCTGCCCAAACCCCAGCTTTCTCTCACTCAGATCTTTCCAAGGGAGCAGGTGCCAGGGAAAGCCAGTGTGTCTCCTTTCTCCAGCTGTGGCAGTGCTCTCTGAGGATAGACTAGGACAATCCTTTGATCCATATTAATGTCAAGGAGCTCCACAGGCTTTTCCCATGTTAAGCCTGCCGGCTCTCATTCCTGCCTAACTGAGCTGGTCAGTTACCAGTTGTAAGTGACAGAACTTGGCAATGGGTTAAGCAAGCCTAAATTGGCTCTTGATTTTGTCATACCTTACCATGTATATCTAGCCTTCCCCATCCTAGGAAGGGAAATAATGATTCACCTAGAATCATTATTCCTCTCCCTTGTCATTGACATTAAAATGTAAGAAGTTCCCATGTCCATCTATGTTAGTCAGCTTTTTGTTGCTGAGACAAAATACTGAACATACACAGTTTAAAGGAGAAAATGGCTTATTTGGCTCACGGTCTCACAGGGTTCAGGCCATAATCAGTTATCTTCAGATACAGGGATATCTCAACAGAAGAGTGTGGTAGGATAACACTGTGCCCTTCATGGAGCCTGGAAAGCAGATCAGGTTGAAAAATGATTTAGAGAGGAAAGGGCCAAGATTCAGGTATAGCCCTCCATGACTCACCCAGACCTACTCATAAATGTACCTTACTTCTCTGCTAGGAGTCTATTAATCCAGTCAAGTTGACAGTCATGATTAATAGTCACAGCATCTCAAACATATCTTAAATTAATCTCCCTTTAACCATTATACGCTTTGCCAACACTTTTTCATCCCTAACCTCTTGTTGGGACAATTGCAAATTTTTCCTAGTGAGTCTTTCAGACACATTCTTGTTCTTTCCTTTACAATCCAGTCTCCATATAACATCAAGTGATCTTTTAAAAACAAAGGTCACTCGCTCTGCTTAAACCCTTCAAGGGCATCTTTTTCACTTACAAAGAATCACAGTTTTCACACAAGCCTTACCCCTCCCCTTGCTCTTGAGCCTTCAGCCCTAGTTTCTGTCCTTCTTCTTGGGTTGCATGGCACAATGGGTAGACTAGCGTCCTTCCAAACCTCCTGCTTAGACATTAGGTCTTTAGGAATATATGTTAATTTATTAAGAAGAGATCAGCTTTAGGCTGCTTAAGTGCAATATCTCAAGTATGTATAAGAAAAAGGAGTAAGAGATTCAGATACAGAGAGATAGAAGAGACATTCACAAGAAAGAAGACCATATAGAAATAGGGGCAGAAATCAGAATGATGTAGCTAAACACCAAGGATTGCCAGCAACTACAAGAAATTAGGACAGGGCAAGAAGAATTACTTTCCAAAATCTTCAAAGACAGAAGGCATGGCCCTTTACTTAGGGCTTCTAGGCTCCAGGTCAGTAAAAGTAAACTTCTGTCATTTCAGGCCACCTTGCTGGTGGCAGTTCGTTGTGACAGACTCAGGAACATATGGCAAGCTCCTTCTTGTCTCTGCCCTTGTGCTGATTTTTTTCCTGTATTTGGATCTCTGATCTTCTGGCTGTTTCCATTTCACGCATTCCAGTCTCCATTTAGATCTTAACTCCTCAGAGATGTCTTGCCCAAATTCCCTAGTGAAAGTCGCTCCCCTGAGTTAGTCTGTATCACAATGTCTTGTTTAATTTTCTTCATAAGATTTATTGCTCTGGAGTAATTTTATAGATTTTGGGGGGTCAAGAATGGTCAAAAACAGGCCTGGGGAGATAGCTCAGTAGAATAAGTGCTTGCCTGACAAGTGCAGGGTCCTGAGTTCAATCCCTGGTACTGCCAAAAAAAAAAAAAAAAAAGTATGAAAACTACCTGACAATTAGACAGAATAGCCTGGGGTGGCCAGAGTGGAGAAGAAACATAAGAAAGGAGTTATTTTATTGATTAATTGAT